CTAAGTACATAGACTGTATTATATGGACTGCGTTACACGCGCGCATTGTTTCTTTTCACAAAAGCCGAAAGTTATTACGAACGATATTTATTCTCCTTTTTACACACTTTGTTCGAGACGTACAGCTGCTGTGCACACAAATAATAAAATTGTGTACAACAGCCGTATGTATAGGCGGTATTATTTTCGTTATTGGTCCGTTTATTTTTGACACAATAACTCGTTTTACACATTCGTGTCGTAACATTGGTATGCGAACGAGTTACACGTGGACACGGCGACGGTTCGACATAATGATATTCAAAATTAAAATCGGACTATTATACGCATGGAAGTACAGGCCTGTAATGGAAGATGTCTGCGCCCGGCGGGGGACGTAATATCCTATCGCTTGGAACCCGATTAAAAAATACGATTTATCCGAAAAGAGCCAATACTCTGAAACCGACGGGTTTTGACGCTTTGGGCCCCGATGATAAGGTAAATCTCTGGGGCCCATTCCTGGAAATATTTTCTTTTTAATACTGACTGCTTATTAAATCGTTAAACGCGCTACTCAATTTGTATTTATTGTCAGTGGAATAATAATATATGCATGTTACACGGTTGAGTTATAATAATAATAATAATAAATTATTAATAACGAACAACACGAAAATTACATCATTTTCGATTTATGATAAATGATCGCTGATTTGATTTGAATATGTTGCGTTAAAAATACCCTCCCAATACACAACTATGACAGGGTCCCCTTTCTGCCTTGGGGACCCGATGTTAGGCAACGTCATTTCCCGCGATAATCGCGCCACTGTCTACGACAACAATCAACGATCGACTCATCATTGATAAGAAAAACAAAGGATGTCATATAATATATCGATTACACCTACACTTCTGGACCAATGACTGTGACGAATACCGACGTAAGTCCGCTATACTATAATACGCTCTGTGACTCTATACTCAGACTCCGAATTTACTACACGGATTTCCAAACAAACATGTGCGTATATGCGCTCGTTCTTGGTTCGACGCGGGTAAACCCGTTATAAGTCCTCTCCAGTCGGATTATAATATTATTATTATTATTATTGTCATTATCGTACAATATCGAAACGGCCGTGAAGCCGTCGTATTGTCACGAAGTTACACGTTCGAACGTCCGTTTGTACGGACGGCAATATTATTACTATTATAATATATTGTATTATTATTATTGTATCGTCGTACGGTAATACGGGCGACGGACAAAGATCCGTTTCGTCCTTGGACGCACGACTGTTACAGCGCTACGGGTACCCGCCTACCTACGATTATCATAATAATAATAATAATAATACTAATAATATCCGCCGCCCTCACTTTACACTTTATTCGTGTTTTATACGGCGCGTACATAATATTATCGTAACACAAAAGGATGCAGCGTGTTGTACAAAGGGAATATATCGTCCGGTCCCCGGCGACGGCGACCTTCGCGTCGGTTTTACGATATTATCGTAACGAATTTATACCGGGCCACCGGAACCGTTTTCTCGAAGATAACAATAATAATGCAACATTACAATGTAACGTAGTATACAATAATCGTGTAACGACCGTTTTGTTTACGTCCAAGGATACGAACATATCCGTACACAGGCCCCCGGTACGTCTCGCCGTTATCATCGTGTCGTACCTGCCGCGGCCGAAAGGGGTTTTTACTGTGAACGAGAGGGAAAAAATCAGTTTTGGTCCGAATCTCTCGGAGCGCGAAACGCCGCCGCCCGTCCCGTTCGCGTCTATCCGCGGGTCGCCGTAAAAGATTATTATTATTATTTTTTTTTTTCCGTAATTAAAATCATAACTTTTCAAGTACGTGCGCGTATCGATAGAAAACGGTTTACGAAAAAAAACCGCCCACGTACGAAGATACCGACGAAATCGCCACCGCAGTCGCCGTCAATTTAAAAAAAAAAACAAAAAACAACAAACGTCTAACAACAAATTAACGTGCAAGCGACGTCGTCCGATCAGTCCGGTATAAAATTATATACGTATACTCAATGGTTGGTTTATTTTGTTTCTAAAAAAATGGTTTTACACGTAGTTTTATTTGAAAATAATACGTATTTTATATACACATTAATGCGCGTAAGTAGGCGTACGAAATTACGCTGTCCGAATTCGTCCGACGGTAATAATATTACGCGAGTGTCGATAAAACACATGTATACTTATACTTTATACTCAACACTTCTGGCGTTAAAACGATAACGTTAATAATATTATTACGACACGCCTATTCTCATTATTTTATTCTCATTTAAATATTATTTATCTTTCGCATTTGTTCTCACGACTATTTTCAATCGCCAGTATATTATTGTACATAGGTTGTAGTGTTCGCGGGGGTGGAGGGAGGTCAGTGGAGGTTAAAACGAGGCCATAGACGGATGGATAGGCGCCTCTTCTCTCAAGTTCTATAATTTCATTTCTATTTTTACCCGAGAAAAGTATCTGAAAACGTTTTGTAAAACGTGAATACATACGATTGTCGACATTTTAATATGATTGCATATCGAATTACTATGGCATTCGATTTTCGTTTATTAATCAATGCTCCGAGCATTATATTATGTATTGAGTTGTACGCGATACAGATTAAATACGTTATTAATTAATGTATTTATTTTATTTCTATTTTATTTTTATTATACAATATATATATATATATATATATAGTTGATGGGTACCGACGGGTATGCCACTGTCGTAGGTGGGATGTTGGGAAGCTAAGATTGGATTATTTAATTCACATACACATATACGTGACAAAAAATCATGAAATCAAAATCATCTGAGCGAAGTTCGGTTTAACAATAAAATCGCACCGTCGATAGGTATACACAAATGAACCGACTATGTACCGATAATTATTTTAACGTCATTTTATATGAACCGTAAAGAAACTTGCGAAGAAACTCAACGTTTTTTTATGCCCAAACGAGTCGGTATAGAGTTTCGTGTCACGCACAAACAACTTTACAAAAATATAACGTACGTCTGTTGTCTACAGCTGTTTTATCTACTATAGCGATGTGGGATTGAATAATTCCTTTTTATACGGTTCTAGTTTTGAATTCACAATATTCGTATGTCACATGAGGTTTTAAAAACCAAACACCGAAAACTACGCGCTAACATACTCTTTTGGCCATCTCATTGGTTTCGCAGAAATTATAACGGTGTAGTATATGCAAACTAATAATATTTATAAATTAATAATTAGTATTTACAACCATCACCAAAGTATATTAATATAAAAATATTCCAAATGATTTAATGTACTAAATAATAGATAAATAAACCGTTTACACGATTAAAAATATTATTATCGATATCTTAAATATCCGTGCTGACAAAGTTCGATCGGGCGGGGCCGGGACAACGTAGTATGTACGTTATTCAAGGCGATCGGAGTCGAAGCAGTATAATACGAATCGCTTTTTTGTTAAAAGGGCACATGTTTCGACAAAGTTGAAGTTCCGGGAAACGATTAAAGAACCACACAACTTCCGAAATACGGCGACAGCGTAAATGTTTTTATTATTATTATTTTTTTTTATGTGCGCGGTATTATATGCAGTGGACATGTGCCGTTTGAACACACACGGCGGACCTATATGTACACAAAACGGAAAACGAAAAGCAAACGATTTTAACGGAAAATGCGTAACACCGGACCTTTTAACGAAAAGCGATTCGCGTATTGTCGTGTATATTTTCGCGGCCTTGCCATCGTATTCGGCACATTGTTCGCGTGTACGCGCGTTTAATAATTTATCGTCCGGTATAACACTATCGCAATCGTATAATAACGTCCCCGATCGGCTCTCGCGTATAATAATATTATTGTTATTGTTATTATTATTATATATTTATAGACAATGCGCTGGGAGGAGGTGGGGGGGGGGAAAGACCGTTGACTGTCGATTTTTTCTCACAGCTTTTGTCGCGTCGCACGCACACACGCACGCGTTTCATAAATACACAATACACGACGAGCGTACAATACTGACGGAGGCCATCGTCCGAGTATGTGACGTACCGTACCTCTAAATCCGTATGCGCGTGTGTACTTGCTATTGGGTACGATCTCGAATGAAATATTGTTTACGGCGGTTTTTCTTCGATCCGTTTACTTAAGGGAGTCGTTTTGGGGTCCGCGCAGGGGTTTGCCCTTGAACTGTTGTCGTACACTGTGACGCTATACTGTATGCCATTACTGTAACTGCAAGCATACGGAGCCGACGACGATATTGCTCGACAATAATTTCCGTCTAGTCCGTCTAGTCCGTCCACTCCGTTATAATACGAAACGCGTAAACAGAGAGAGATGCGAGGTGTACCCATATCGTGCGTTATAATATATTAGACGGCCATCGATAAATTCACGCCGATCGATCGAAATTTGTTTTTATACAAACAAACGTACACAAAAACACGACCGTTCCGCCGTACACCGGGACGCGGCCGCAGTATTCACAACCTAAAAACCGTAGACAAATGTATTATGCTATTTGTTTATTCCCGTTTGAACAATACGATAATTCTCGTTTTTTTTCCGTACCCCATGTGCGCATAACACAATAGTACAATGATATTATGTTTACGCGGCTTAGCGGACGAATACAATGTTGCAAAATTATCGTTGTAAATCGGATAGTAGTTTATTATTGCCGTTTATTTTTTTTTTCCTCCCGTTTTTCTCAGCCGCCGATATCTATGTACACTACGTCGCAGTACGTGCGATATTTCATCGGCCGGGAATGATCATTGCGATACATAAAATATGTACGCGCTTATACACAAGACGCGCATTGACATTTGAACGCACGACAATTTTATACGTTATGCTCGTTTATAATATTATGACATTTTATAGTCTCGCGTGATTGTTATTGCGTATGGTTATGTTCAAATAACAGCTATAAAATTAATTATTCCGACAATAATATTATAATTATTTATATTATACAGACGCTATATAATACAATAGCAATAATATAATAATACGATATAAAGTATTGTGTAGAGAGGAATTATTTGGAACTGCGATCGTTAACTTGCACGAGTACAATTATTTAATGTGTATACAATTTAAAAATAATAATGCAAAGAAGTCGACTTTCGTATTCGTTCGAATCGTTTTACATGAAAAACCGGAAAATCTGAAAAAAAAAAAAAAAGAAAAGATAATATTATCCACGTTAAAACTATATGAAAATCCACCGTTGCTAGCTTGGAATTCAAAAGCGTTTACAACGATAAATTATTATAATAAAACGAACAAATAATCGTCTGCGCAGGAGAGAATGATTCGTTAGTAGATCGAGAAAAACTCGAAGCGCTCGGCGCAACAACAAAGCGAATCCAATTAGTCCAAAAGGATTTCTTGATAGATTCGAGTAAAGCAATGCATAAATCGGTGCGGCAATAATGCAAATCTCTCTACTGGATACGGGGAAAATAGCGATAAACACTTGTCTGCGTGTTCGACCATATTCTGTGCAAAAAAAAAAAAATAATACCAAGTCCCGTAGATAGACGGTTTTTTCATTTTCCTAAACTATTACGGAACGTGAACTTGACTTGTCGTTGCACATCAATTACTCTCGAGAAATTTACGAATACTCAACACGACGTAGGTAAGTCACTCGGCTTTTTGTAAATATAATCACTAAAAATCGATTGATGTCGATGAAAAAAACACCTCTATATATGATAAATACGTTTTAGAGAAAGATAGAAATAGGTGCCCTCTCCCAACAATGTAAACACGCAAACTCAATGTTAAAATTATTATAATCACATAATAAATAATGCGCCTATCTGTGATAAAAGTTCATTAATATCAGCCAACGATGATATTGTAGACACGGGCGTTATCCGATTGCGTTCCCTTTTTTTATTAACCCTTCTCGAATTTCGATTGCGTCCGCCAATGTTATTCCAACTATTAAAATTAATATTGTACTGCCCGCGATATCATATTCGATATACTGCAGCAAATAGATCGGGGCTGAAACTTTTTTAGAATGTAAATACAGTGCGTTTTGTACACAAATTATTATAGACATTGAATTTACCGGTATACCTCCCGGTCGAGAAATAAACTATTTAAAACCGTTCGGTACAGTAATTAATTTTTTGCAATAAACTACTGTAAAACAAAAACAGACAAATACTGTTACATTATACTTACTGTACCCGTAAAAAATTGTCCGTATTTAACTATACTACCGTATAGTATTCACATTGTTTAGATACTACTGGACAATAACTTACTAAGCGAAATTATATTATTATTAAATCTAAACTATAAACGCGATGTATTTACCTTAAAAAATCTGCGTGTTTTCACCGTTATTTTTACAATATTGTATTGCGTATATAATTATTAATCTAATTTGAATAATTTAAAACTTAATTCCGGTTTTTTTTCGGTTTTTACTCGTTGCGGAGTACAATTTTTAAACGGTATAATATACAATTTAGAATTATCGCTAGTTCCTAACTGTCTCTACGTTATTATTCTTGAATCACGATTACAAAAATATAATACGGACCTATTTTTTATTTTTTTTGTTCGCCTGTTTGAATACCGACAGGTAATATATTGTACAAGACACTTACAGGTATCTACGACCGATAAACATTATAAATGAGAAAACGCCGAAAAGATATAAGTAAACAAAAATATTTCTACAAGTTTTCGGTGCACATTAGGGACGTCGTTTCAGTTTTTCAATAAAGTTGCAAACATTAGGATCTGGTAAATTTTTCTGAAAATCGGTCACTTCGTTTCCTTTTACCTTACATTTCCCGCTTTACAATTTAATATTCAAATACTAAAGGTTTGTTGACATTACAGTAATGTCGATACTAAACTACGACCGTAGTATATTTTTTCACGTGCACTTCACTCATTATACCTTAGTTCACTCCGCCGGTCGCGCACTGTTATCTTGCTAACTTACTTGTTTATTTAGCCGTGATAAGAATTAACAGTTGATAATAAACCGTGGTGAGAATCCCCCGTGTTGTTTCACTGCCATACGCCACAGACGGTCGGACCCTTGTAGAAGCGGGAAGCGATTCGATTACCATTTACCGATTTTACATTTTATCGACAACGGCGCAATGTCATAGCACTTTATGCGGGCCGAGAAAACATTTAAAAAAAATATGGGGCTGCCAAAGTGTTGTCCGAATTCCTCAAACGACGCCTCCGGTGCACGCAGTGTGTGTTTGTGGCACACACGGCGCTCGAACACAAACCAAAACGAAAACCGTTTTCGACAGCATTTCAACGGACGTTTTTGAATAACATCCGTCCGAGGACGGTATAATATTTTTATCGTATATTACCGAGACGTTTACGACGACATGACGAACAGCGTCATCGGATTTAATTGGGTTCGTTTAAACTATTTACTCGACGTAATAACAATATGTTAATGTTTCAATGATAAAGATATATACGCTTATTGTAATTTCACGCAATTATACGTACCCATATGATACGGTTCTTATTATAATATCTATGTATACGAGTATGCGTATGGGCTTGTATACATAGTTATTATAATCGATACGAGACGTCGTTGTAATTTTTATAATTCAATAACGATATTATATTACTGTTTACGATCCATAATACAATGATGATAATAATATGTTTTCGAACCGTTGAAATCATTATTAGCCGTACGATCGAGTACGACAGAAAAAAAAAAAAAGGACGTTTTTGTGAGGACGTGATGTTTTGCGCGTTCGCGTTTGGTATCTATACGCCCAGATTTCGCGCTGTCGGGTTTTTTTTTTTTTTTATATCAAAACGGGCCCAACTTTTTTTTCGATATTTCTATTTTCGAGCGGGTCACGAGACTTTTTTAAAAAATATTATTCGGATACTCGTGTATTTTCGCTTAGAAATTAAAATAACGAGAAGAAAAATAAACACAGACTCCGATCATATACCTTAAGTTTGGTAATCGATCGATTCGTTCTGATATCGAAATTAACGGCACGACATTCGGCGCGCGCGTAACGTACTCACAAAACGTATTTACTATTTGAATACCCATTGGTGTTGTTGTAAAACTGAAAAAAACTAAAACGTTAGTAAATTTATAAAAAAAAAAAAAGGCGATAAAATTAAATAACTAGAACTATCGTTTTGTATGAAACACAGGCACCTCTAACATAACTTTCGACCGTCGATCCCCATCCTAGATTCAAACTACTGTACAACTAGTTCGAAAATCGATACCTATAATAATTATCTTCGTCTAAAGATCTTATAGAAATTCTCGCGGGTCCCATGCGACGTGTGGGGATACCGATCCGGAAACGATGAATCCGATGTAGCCATCTATGAAGCCTCTCGGGCTTCTATAAACATAAAAATCCATCCCATCCTCCGAGGCACTCGTCTTAAGGGCGTCACAAACTGGAAACTCGGCGAGTAATACCGGATAATAACGTGTCTCTATCCAATAATAATAAATTCGTTCTGTCACGCTGGCTCTGCGCAATGGTATTTCTTTTTTTTATGCCACTGAACCCGTACAGGAAAATCGTCGATTTTATAAATAAACATTAACATCCGATCAGATGTAAAATATCAGTACGCGTTTTTCTCTAGCCTCATGGTACGTAACACGTTTTTCCACACAGCGTTTGTTTTTCAACCCTTCTGTCTACGTGCATTAACCAAATCTCCCTGGTATATCACCATAACAAAACATCATTTCACACCGAACTTCAAATCAATTATGTCAACCAGATCGCTCCAATGGCTTAACAATTCAGCTCCTGTATACCAACCCTAGTATAATATTCACCGATCTTCAAACCGTATTCCTGACAACCCTTCTATATAAGAGGTTAAAATGGCGCGAAGTTCGCCTTTAAAAATTAAATACAATTACAAACATTCAAAGTATATGTATAGCTCCACTGGGCGCCCTCCTGTCACCATCACCTCTCCGTTATCATTTTTACTCGTAGCGCATATCGGTTTACATAAAGTTGTGAATTAGCTTCTTAAAAAAAAAAAAAAAAAAAAAAAAAAAAAAAGTGAGCAGTTGGTTTCGCCGCTATACAGGGAAATTATAATACGCGTATTGTAATTAGCGGACGGTAACGGCGAAACACGGTAGCGGAAAAACGAAAATGAAACTAAACACGATATTACATTATCACTGTTATCACAACGGTTGGATTCGTGTAAAAAAAAAAAAAAAAAACGAAAAAACGAATCCGACGGTGTTCGCCCGTATTACTTCGTAAAATACTACACAACAGAATCGTATGTTAACGCGGCCTAATCCAGAAACGTGTCGCGCGTGATCCGGCCGAGATATTCCGCGCGCCAGAATTAGAAAATCATACCTGTATTATTGTGTTGCCGTGCGTGTGTTACAAGTGGCGTATTATGGCCGCGCGCGGTACCCGTTAAACCTGTTCGGCGGTATTTTTTGTATAATTTTTTTTTTTTTTTTTCTCGTTTCGAGAAGTTATTCGTCAGCGTTTAAACGCACCCGCGGCGAGCGAGCCCACTAATCCCGTACTCGCACGTTATCGTATCGGGCGAGTAAATTATTTCGGGTTTTTTTTTTTTTTTATTTTTTTTTTTTATTCCGTGTCATTTTAACGGAAAAAATATGCCGCGGCCATCGCGCAGTCGCCGTGACGGTATTACGCGGCGTTACTCGAGCGTATGGGTATTTTTTTTTTTTTAGTTTTCAAATTCGTCTTTTCACTATTCGCCGCGGTAATTGTTCGCGCCGCGGAGAGTTATACCGAGCCATAAAATCCGCCGGGAAAAAAAGACTCGGAGTGCGTTCGGGGTTCGGACTTTTGTTTCCCCCCCCCGCCCCTCCGTGAATCATCGGTTAACAAAAGCGGCAGCTTATATCGGCGCAGGGGATCGTCACCTCCCCTTTGGGGGTTTCTCCACCGCTATACACTTTATTTTATAACCTGTACAACTCGATATAACGGAGATATCGTACGCCGTTACCCCCGGTGGATTTTAAACGCTCCTTCCGAACTGCGGGGACGTTTCGGCCACTGATAAGAAGTTATATATAATTATTAGGTAACTGCAGCCCGAGTGCAAGGTATTTTTTTTTTATAACAGCAGGCCGTGTTCGGTTCACGTGCGTGACAATTCCGAGTGTTATTATACGCATACTCTGTCGGTTGTAGACGCGGACCATTAAAAAAAAAAAAAACAATAATACGCGTGATGTTTACAATATTATATTCTTTAACCAAAAATACAGCGAGTTTCACGCGTTTTTAGGTATTTGGCGATAATATTTTTATAATAACCGTGCAGTGGCAGCTCGCGCGAGTCTGATTGTAAAAAGTGACTAGGCGAATATTTCGATTAGTATAACGGAGGGGGGAAGAGGGGAGCGACGCGCATTTACACGGAGAGGCGAACATAATAATATAATGAGTCATCGAAAACTTGATGATGGTACCGTTATCGTTAATAATTGTCGTTAAAATAATTGTCGATTTTAGTCTTCAGCTATATAATATATAATTAATATGCGGTAATTATTTCGAAAATTTAAAAGCATTTCAATGTTAATATTTGTCTGAAACGAAATTCGTTTTATGATATTGAAACTGAATCGAATATAGGGTTTAGGCACCACCCATGGTTAGTATCCAGTAATTTTATAATTTTGTGGTTTGACGAGCTTTGTTAAAATTAAAATTAAATCACATCGATTAATTTACGGCGAAGTATAATGTCCTTGATACAGTGAAAACACGGGTAGATAGCGTGTAACGAGAAAATTCACTTATATAATATTTAACACTGATTTTTGCCGTTCCGTAATGTTGACTTTCGAACTGGTAAACTTTTAACGGTTTTTACGGTTTAGTTTTTAATTCGTTGGATTAAATCGAATATCAATAGAAACGAGTCCTTAAGACGACCACGAGAGTGGCGATAACACCGGTCTACCTATATATTTACTGTATGGTTACACAATAATGAGAACGTTTTAGATGAGGCGCAGTTCCTCATCGTTCGCTTCATCACCGCCACAGCGGGAGAAAAATCGCAGAAATAGAAAAACGCTTTAAAAATCTTTATTCAATTTACCGGATGAACTTATTATTATTTGTTTTATTTTTGTCATCTCGAGTTCGGTATTATTTAAAGCGAGCAATTCGCGTTCTCGTCAAACCGATCTGCGTATATCGCATTGTAGCGCGCGTAGAAAATCAACATGTCGAATACGATAAAAAAAAAAAAAAGACTGTTGTAATATGTATATCATCGGCATTATATTTTACGACGATTCGTCGGGCAGAGTAAATAATAATTATTGTCGACGAATTTAGTCGTGTGTTGTAATCTCACGATAATTGTTCTTATTATATTTTTTTAGTAACGGTATACGAATTCGTCATAAATATTGTCGAACGATATGAGTCACGTACATAATACCTATCGGAAAACGCTACCGTTTTTTTTTCTACCGAGACGTCACGTAAATACGACGCGATTGCGTGTACAGAAATCTTATACGAACAATATTATTAAATTATATTATATGCCGTATTTACGGTGAGGGATGACGAGGAATCACGGAGATGGTATTCCCCTTGCCTTTTTTTTTTTGTACCTATAACCTTGTGCGTACTTTTTTACTTTTCAGTTGGAAAAATCAACAATTAGTTTATGTATTAGTTACCTAATAATATGTCAAAAATAAATTTGAACGCATATCATACATTTGCTATATTATGGTGTCGATTTTTTTCTCTCTAATCCGTCGCAGCAGTGTTATAATAATAATAATAATAATAATGCGTATAACGTATACACCACGTATATTTTTTTCTCCTCGGTGTGTCATTTGAAAAAAATAAAAAAATAAAACTAATGCATCGCTGGACGGCGGCGATCCCGTGGCGTGTGTGTGCAGTGGGAGGACAGAGTTCTGCGTGCACGTACTCACACACACACACACACACACACACACACACACACACACACACACACACACACACACTTACACAAAAAAAAAAAATTAAAAAAAAAGAATACATATATACGAGACCCGGAGAGCTTGACAAGCCGGCGAGGCGGTCGTAAAAAATATAATTTAACTGCCGCGCGGCAGCCCCGCGCGTATAGTTAGCTGATAAATTAAATAATAAAAAAAAAAAAATGCAGCGAGAGGAAAAAACCGAGTCGTAAAAAAAACTTGACTGCAAACCGCGGACGCGAGAAGAAAGTTTTTTTGTTTTTAAATTTAATGTTGCACTTTTTTCTGTACAATATATGAGGATACACCTTTACCTGCAGTCCGCGGGAAAATCGAATTTCCAACGTCCGCGAAATAATTTTGTTTTTTTTTTTTTGCATTCATTTGGTCGATATGAACGTTTTTCAGCGAGCTGGAAAAAAATACACTAAAACTTTTACGTCCAGCGCTGCGAAAAACCGAACGGACATTTAGCAATTATGGGTATTGAGAAAATCTTCCGATTTTTTCGTATCATACGAAATGGTTTTTTAGATTTATATTATACCAAGTATTATAGTTGACGGAGGCTACGAGTACGACTTGTACGGGGTTTAGGGGGTTTCAAACTTCCCCTCTCCAATTGCATATTATTTAACTCCCGCCGATTCACTCCCATTTGCAATTTGTTTGTTTTTTCCGCATTAATCTATTACAAATAATTGAAAGCCGATCACCCCCTCCCATGAATTAGGTATCTATATACCTGTCCGCCCGCGACAGTCGATATCCACACAAAGTTCTTTTAATTGTATATATGTATACAATATCGACGGGTATTATATATAGGTATAGAATCAAAAATCTCGTCGCGTTACTACATATATACACACAATTGCAAGAGTATAGGATGATGAAATTTCAGTTTCATACACGGTATCGATTTACACAGTACAATACAATACATATTTAATACTGTTTAAAACGGTTTTTTTTTTTTTTTTTTTTTATGATGTCCATAATTTCCGTTATAATAGTAGGTACATAATAAAAACGCATTAATAGTTTACGACGTCGTAAACAAATATTATATTTAATTTAGATTGTTGAAGAATTACGTTTTATACATGTAATAATATGATATAACATAATATTATACAATAATGGAAACCGATATATATATATTATATTATAATATTTAATATTATATTGTACTAGATACGCGATTAAAACGTTAAAACATTATAATATAATAATCCATTCAAATGACTCGGTAAACAGCGATAATATAATAATAATGTATAGAAGCTGAATGAATGTAAAGAGAAAACGTCCGAGAGAACTGCTCAACAATAATAATCATAATAACGTTATAATTTCTATATTATACGGTTATATTGTGTGTATTATACAACGATGACGTCAAATATATTCTGAAAAAAATTCACTTCGAGGATATCATTCCAATACAATTATATCTACTAATATAACTACCGCTACTAGCATAACTTAAATATATTATTCCGAGTATTAATTATAACGACTATAAAATATCAAAAAAAAAAAAAATCAAATATATAATTATGTATACATAGGTACCTACGGTAAACATTTTAGTTTTAAATGTTTATTTATTCATTACCTAATATTTCTACGTATTTCGCACCGTGGGTGGTTCACCGTAAGTATAGGTAGGGAGTTTGAAAGTTACGGGTTAACCGGTGAAGAACGATTGAGCGAAATTTGTGCAATCGTGTATATTTTAATAGCCATCGAAATACACTCACGATTGCGCAAGATTTTAAATGCAACGTTGCCATGCATAAATAAATATATTAAGCTATAACATCATATATTACAAATCGCGTTCTGTGTGAAAACCTTAAACGATATATTTAGTATTTTGTAGGAAATTTCATAAGATGCACAACGACAGCATTACCATTGTCAAAGTTAAAATACATTTAATTTTGTCCATGAAGTATTAATTAAAAATATGAAATGACGCCCTTGTTATAATGTATGCGATATTTTAATTTTTTTTATAATTGTATAGCTGATATATATATATATTTTTTTTTTTAATATTAAACTTAACTAACTGACAAAAATTATGGTTCTCTTCTATACTATTCATTTCAAATTAAGTGCTTGAAAAAATGATAACAAATTGTTAACTTTAAAAAAAAAATATTATCAATGTTCATAACCTTGGTCATCTTAAAATGTGTAAAAATAATCATTTATTTCATTAACTGTTGTTATGTCGTACACTGGGGTCATAAAACTAATACGCTAACATGTATAACTATTACGTTATGGCAAATTTTGCTCGATAGTGTTGTGGCCGGGTTAACGCTGAAATCAACGATATAAATCATTTTGATCGAAAATCGGTTCTGAACGGAGTAGTTTTCGTATAGTATTAGTCGTGTTTTCCCCTTATACTATTTTATAACCTATAGGTGATATCCGAGAATAAAACCCGATTATTTACCGAAATTCGTCGTCGGTTATTTAAATTTTCTGGAAAAACTGTTAGGAATTTGGAAATTTGTCCCGTCGTACGAAAAACAAGCGTATTTTAAACGAAGCGAATAATTTTGGAACGATTTAATTGACCGGAAAAATATTTTCCGAGGAGAAAAAAAATCGCACGCATCTTAGTAAAACTATAATAGCTCCTCCGCTACAATCGGAATTCTAAAACAATGTGAAAATATTGTTTTGTCGTTATTATCAATACTTATACATTCAATAAACGCACCGCGTTAACGTGATATTTTTTAAATTAGATTTACCATATTTTTTTACCGGGCATTAATAGTATAGACGTATGTCGTATACATATACGTTTGCGTATCCCGTGCAGCCAAAATTAACACAACGTACACGAATTATTGTACAATAAAACATGATAGATAATATTATGTTCGTATAATGTTATTATTAAGGTTGAGATTTCGATGCACTTTGCATTTTTTTTTTTTTAAAGCTTGCTGCGCGTATTGTCACAAATTAGTTTCGTGTGTTTTTGAACGAGAATGAGAAAGCTTATTTTGCATTGTTTGATAAATAAATTAATGGAGATTAAATGGTATTTAATTCATAATTCTTAGTTTTTCAATGTATTAAAATAGGGTTTTAAGGGAACATTTTTAAGGTTTTTCATATCCAAAATTTGAATTTGAAATTTCGTTTTTAAGATTTTAACACTCTAAACTGATATCTATGCAAATGTAAAAACTATTAAGTAGGTTATCGTATTATGTAATACGATACAAATATACATAATATATAATAATAATGTCTAAACCTAAATAACGATGGTTAAACAGATAGGCGTGACTAAATTTCATCCGTAGCGGCAGCCTAGCTAATGACCAGCGAAAAAATTCCCTTTGAATAGGGGGGATTAGTCTCCCACAATTAATTATTTTTATAATTTAAAAATGTCTATATTATCTATGTACAATATTTTCAGTATCTTTAAGTTTAACTTCAGAAATATTATTCATGTAGAGGCCTGGCTCACACCGCCAAATAATTAATTAATTAATAAAATATATGATGGGTTAGTATAATAGTATATACTATATATAGAATAACAAAAATTATAGCCTGACAGGGAATAATATTTTGTTATGTATAATGCATAAGACATTTTTTTTTTTTTTTAATAAAAGTTGTAAGCAACTAGAATTTGGTTGAGCGGCACCATTCAAAAATTGTAGGGACATCCCAGGCACCATAGGCTGCCACCGTAGACATGCCTATGGTTAAACAGATGACGGCTGGTACTTTTAGAATCACTGGATTGCATGTTTTATAATTTGCAGTTAGAGCAATAACACCGCCTATATCGTTCAGTAGGCATACGAGTTTTGGCTGCTATAAGTGAACGTGTATCGAAATCATCAAAAATTAAATGCATTTTTTCAGCGCATTATTTCCAATTCTTGAGACGTAAACGCATTTTTTGAGGGCATATTCTAGGGTTTTATAGGGTGTTATATTCCCGGCCCTAGTTATGATTACGACGGATAGAAAAACTATTATTTTTATGACGTAAGTATGTATCCTAGCTATTATTTTAACGTTCGAGCGATGTACAAACAACTTTTGAAACCGCGAGTCATTTTATAATAACTATACGAATATATTGTTGCGATACGAAACTTTGGCGACCAGTCGATTAATAAAATAACCGTGATTTCACCCCCCCCCCCCGTATAATTCGCGAGTATAACTGCACTCGGATAACCTAACCGCGGATAGGATTTATAGCCGGATAAATCGAATAAACGCGTGTATCTACTATATGCACGGCAGCGCGAACGCGTATTATAAACATTTAAAACACCCTGTACATTTGTATACAGACGTTTAATATTTCACGACTGTCGCGCGTTATTTGACGTCTTACAATTCTGTACGTCCGATGATGTACTACGTGTTTTTTTTTTTTTTTTCTACGGCCCACGAAATAATCGTCGTCGTCGCGCCGCCGTTCGTCGACGCCATTATTATTATTATTATTATAATTATAATCTAGCGGTTTCACGTCCAATTCGAAACAGGTCGTAGGTACATAACTACACTTACTCACTATATATTTTAATAATAAACGACCGCGATAACGCGAAAATAATCGCTAGATTAGAGGTCACGATTGAAAACTAGAATTAAAACGCGCGAATAAAAAAAACCCGTACTCGCGAGTACATTCGTTACGCGTGAAAAATAACGCGAAATATACGCAAATATGTATACGGATGTGTACACGGATTTTGTCGATTCGAATGTAAATTCCACGCGAAACGCGAAACTGTTATAATAAATTATTATTTTTTGTATATACATTTTCGACGTTTGTCACGCGGTCGCGGCGTATCGATACGAGCAGTGGCGTGACTAAAGAACTCCTAATGCCCGTGCCGGCAAAATAAAGGCCGATAAGAAAAAAAAAAGTCTTTACCTGTCCAATAATAACCTTGATTTGGGGCCCCTAAATGTCATAGGCCCGTCATGCCTCCTCAAGCTATAATTATAACTACGTCACTGGATACGAGTGACGGTACTATATACGATTCACAGAAGCGGATTGAGATATTCGATCGGGGGCGGTTAGAGTATAAAATACGAGAATATGGAATATAAAATTGTACGCTAGTAAAAAAAAAAAAAACCAATACCCACTCAAAAGTACGAATACAACGTGCACGGTTAGGAACGACCGTTTTACCGTTTATAATATCGACATTTGTTTTCAAAGATTATACGGGGTTTAGGTTATATAGCATGAAACCGTTCGAATCTCGCGCGAACTAAGTTCGTCGTCGACATTTGAACGACCCCGATACAGCAAATGTTCAAATCGATTCGGTGAAACCCGCCAAAACTGATTCCAAGATCGTTTAAAACGTGAGGCCGAGCCGTCGAATGGCTATCAAAGTACATACTTTATTTTAAAAAATAATATAAATAATTTGACGCGTATTTGACAAGAAAAGGGGGTTTAAGTCGGTTTTTTTGGCCTTTCTCTCCCGTTTTATTTTTCAGCCTATGTATATGTTCTAAAACTTGTTCAACTGAAAATTAAAATATCCCGGTTCGCTGGCATCGTCACCGGTTTTCGTTTGACGGTAAAGGGCGTAAATCGTGTAGACCAAGGGTAAGGGATTTCTAACGTGAGAGATTTATGAAGACTTGTAACGCTGTTATAGAAAAATTACTATTACGGTATTAAAAAAAAAAGACCCGAAAACGCTCGCGGGGCGTTTATGTCAGGTCGTTTACCGATTATTAACCCGTCCGGCGATACAATTGTCGCCAGTGTTGAACCCAGGTATACTCCGGGGGGAGAGAGCAAATGCCCCCTCTTGAATTTCATTCTAATAATACAATGACTGTCAGCAAAATGTATTTATTAAATGTATAATACTCGTTACTCTTTCCGATTTACATCGAAATGACCGAGGAAGAAAAAAGGGGAGTGCCATCCCAAAAGGAGAAATTCTCTGCATTCAACACTGATTGTCGCGCAGTCTCGGCAAACGCCAGTAGTACGCCGCAAATTTTACGCGGCGTAATTCGTCGATCGTAATTACTGTTCCAATATTCTGTAGGACTATACGTATTGTAGTACACATATTATTATATCATTTGAAATTACCGTCGGAAATATTATCGAACGTATACACAATACAAATAGTAATAATTGTCGCGTGTACGTTTCGTAAAGAATATTTTTATAATTGTATTAGATTAGAAAGAAGAAAGAAAATAAAAAAAAAAAAAAACCGAGTTTTATTTGAATATAATGTGTAACCGAGACGGGACGCGGGACGATTGTAACGACACCGTAATAAACGCGCAGTGTCGTAACGTTTTTTTTTTTTTTTTTCTGTATTCCGTTCTCCGTTCGCAGATAACGGAGACGACGAGACCGCCGATAATTGCCCGTCGATAATATTATTAATTATTGTTATCGGTCGGTCGGCCGTAAGGTCGTGCCGGGCCGGCCTTTTAAATACGGCCGGTGTCCCGAACGCCCGGACAAGTCGATCGGCCGTCGAGAGCCGCGCGCCGTCGTCATCGCCGAGGATTTTCGAGGTGTTCGCGCGCCCGCACCGGACCCTCGAGCATACAACAGGCCCCCGTACACCGTGAGTATGTTATAATGATATTGTCGAACGCGTTTTAATATCGTAATATTATTACAGGGACTCGCGGGAGTTTGAGTGTTTCTATTATTATTTTTTTTTTTTTTTTTATATATATATACAATATATTATTATACATGCATGGCCAGATAAAACGGGTAACACAATAAATGTCCGAATAGGAAAGACTGTCTAATTACCGATGGGAATTTTCGATTTTAAAATCGTGTTCATTTTCGGCGATTTTGCCCGCCGGCTACGCCACTGCGTCTGTCGAATGTTTAGCTCTTATTCGCGCGCGTTTGCGATACGTATTTCGATAATATTTGAATACTTTTTCTTTTTTTTTTTTTTTCCGCTAAATTAATAATTAAATAATTATTGTCTTTATGGCCGCGGCGACATCGTTACACGATATCTTATCTGCATGTATACGAACCAAGGCTAGGTTTTTTTTTAATACTCTAACATCGTATTTACCGATTTTTCACCACGGCAGAAACGCGCGCACATTTTTTTTTTTTTAAAAATTCATATTTTAACGGGGCGTCTGCACGTTCTACGTCGTTTCTTATTTTTTGATCGCTATAACGCATACGTTCGTTGTCATGTCATTGAGTCCCCAGCGGTGTAATTATTAGCGTTACTTTCGGGCGATTTTACTTCACGGCCGCGTACGTTTTTTTTTTCTTCAATATTTGTCCGTTCAATTGTTGTTCTAATATTAGACCGGAGTCGCTGGCCGATTTTAGCACGCGGCCGTCTTTAGGAATCGATTGGCGCGTCCGCTGCCGTACAGCCGCGTCTCGAAACGAAACTTCAAATCGCTTCGTTTCGAAACCGTAAATTTCCGGTCGTGGCAGTCTTGTTCCGGAGGCGCGTTGTAGGCGGCCGCGTTACTTATTTTGTTTATCCGGCGTTTTTCTCGGCGACGCCGGAATTTAGAAAAAAAAAAATATAATAATAAAACGGAGTTTTCCTCCCAGTCGCCGGGAGCTTTTATTCCGTCGGTTTTTTAATTTTTTTTTTTTTTGTACGAGCGCGCCGTCACACAATTTGCCGGTTTTGACCGTCGCGTTTTTCTGATTTTTTTTTCTGTTTTTCGAGCCGTTGTTTCGCATACATTTTATTTATAATATTTTATTTTCGACTTCGAGACGGTGTCGCCGTCTTTGAGTACACGTTTTTTTATCTAATTTTTCGGCACCACGTCTACGTCGTTATTATTTTCTTTTAAAACTCGTGTTTTGTATTTATTTTTTTTTTTCCAATGAAAATGTAATATATTATATTGTGTGTAATCTGTATGGTCCAATAGTCCAAGTGGACATTTAAAAAACGATATAGACAAATGCGCCTCTTATTTACGCTTTTTTACATGTACACACGGGATAGGATTCGAAAATTACAAAACGTATTTCAAAACGGGTAGCGAAACAGAATTATATCAGCACGGCACGCCTAACACTTATGACTATGGGGCTCGGAAGTTATTGGAGTTGCATACTTTTCTGTGCACATTGGATTTATATAGGAGAAGACCAAGTTAGAAATTATTTCTATGCAATGAATAGTATAAAAATCGAACATTTGAAGTGCATATATTGCGTAATAAGTTGTTTTTAGAGAAAAAAATGCATACTCCGTCGATTTTCATATATTTTTTCTCATATTCGCATATTTAATGTTTGCTAAACAAAAACAAATCGATTTTTTTTTTCCAAACAACGTATTTCGATATTAATATATTCAATGTAAAACTCAATATTGATTTGAACGTAATTATTTATTGTTATTTCTTATCTTCTCAGTCTATTATTAATTTAACGACAATGGCGTGATTAGCGTTTTAATCTTTATCTCTTTTGTGAAAACAAATACAATGCCATTATATGTTTTCGAATAGATCAACTTTGAATAATTTTTTGCATATTTATCACATTTTTTCACGCACATATTGCCTTTTTTAACTCCTATGACTTCCGAGCTCTACTTGGTGACTCATAAACGTTCGTAAATCAAAATGTCAAACGACTAAATAATTTTACGTCCCGAACAGCGCAGATATCTGTAATAATATTACATACGTTTCTATATATTCGTTCTTAAAAATATTTGAACGAAAACCAACGGTTCGCATTGATTTTTCGGAAATGAAGCGGGAACGCTTTTCCGATTGCCGTGTTTTGTTCGTAATTACGATTTATCCAATCGGCTACGTTATTATTATACGGTTTTTTTTCGTTTTCGTCTCTTTTAAATTTCTCTCGGGGGTTCGTCCGCGGCCTCAGTCTACCGTACCACGGAAAAGCGATTCTTCCGGTCCCGGTGATTTCCCGGAGGCTTTTTCCCACGTCACGACTGGTTCGGTACCGGGTTTTCCGTGTCCGGTTTCTATCGTCTCCGTATCCGTTCTTCGCCCGTTTTCGGAATATCAGCCCGTCCGGAGTGCGGGATTTTTAACGCGAACAAAATATGTCGACTAAAAATGGTCGTGTCTATCGTTACACGTTTAGTATACATACGCGATACGCTCATAAAAGCGGGAACAAATTTTACCGAGTCGCGATGTTAATCGAAACGCGACGTTATAATGTTATGATGATAATAATAATATACGCATAATACGGAAATAGGTTTGAAAAAATATACATTTTTTGTCAATTATAAGTATTTATAATGTTTTTTATTTTTTTTATTTTTTATTACACTTAAAAATTCGAGATTTTTTTTTTTTTTGGTCTTCTTTTATTACGATATTATAATATAACGTTGACATTCCGGTTTACGTTTAGTGAAAAAAAAAAAAATAATAATAATAAAAATTTGCAATTTTAATTCTCCAGACGTTTTTATACCTACGCGTCGTACAATATAACATGGCAATGTATGTGACGCGCGCCGCTCGAAATTATAATAATACACGATTGTAATTAATTGTCGCGGCATACGACGGTGAATTACGATTATAATATTCGAACGTCTTGTTTATTGTAATTTCTTTTTTTTTTTTTTTTCTAAATTTTTATAACGCGCTTTCGGATATTTCGTTTATAATTTAGCGGGAATCACGAATCGATATTATCCGTTTCGGAATAAAATATCGTGTATAGAACTTTGTTTTTTTATTTTTTTTTTGTTTTTCATAGATAGTCGTTCGAATAAAACGTCGTCCGATATTGAACATTTTTCGGAAAAATAACCGCGTAGCCCGCGATTAAAAATGTAACGTTAGGTTTTTTCTTATAATAAACTCGAGGCGAAACAAAACGTTTAGGACCCGCCCGTCGTTTTTTTCTTTCCGTTTTTTCCTACAACTGAAATCTTATTCGACCGTAACCGTTCCGACTGCATTCTCATTATACTGTCGTATTCGCTACAAACAAAATATTGTCTTAGTATTTAGCGGTTTAGTGTTCTGTATTTTTTTTATTCCCCCATTTTTCGACAGCAGTTTTCAGCATTCGTCGCTGTGATTCAGGACGTACTACGTTGTTTTTTTCTCCGATTATAATAGTATCGATAGCTGCGGGAGCAACGCGGCTGCACAAACGAGAAAAAACAAAAACACACGCGGCTCCCGCGGGCACACGGTTCTGTTATTCGACCGGCCGGGTCCTCGGCGCGGAAACCATTACGGCGAGGACGGGACGCGGCTGCCGGTCGGCCGCCACCCTCTCGCGTCGCGCGCCAACCATCGCCGCCGCAGTAGTAGTGCCGCACGGCAACAGCATAATAGGCACGGTCCCCGGCGAGTCCTCGGCCTCCGCCAACGCGTTTGCCCGCCGCCGCGAATATAATAACGACGTCGCGACCCTCCGGTTGCGCACAATAACCGTAACGGTATACGCGTGTGTACGCGCGAACGGCGGTGCGGACGCGCCGTGCCGTACGCGTCGCGGAGGGTCGACACGATGTTGCCGAGAGAAAGGGGGAAAAAACCAATGAGGGACAAAAAAAAAAAAAAAAAAAATAAACGAAACGTTATCCGCGGGGATCGGCTCGTTTCTCCCGCTCGCGTCGTTACGACACGCTGACGCGCCGACCCCCGCGAAAAACTCCTCGGCAAACTGCGCGGCGGTCCCGCGGCAGTGTTATTCGCGCGCGCGGTCCGCGGAGTTGCGCAACAGTCGCGGGCGGACGTGCGCGCGGCGGCGGCGGCGGCGGCGGCGGCGGTGGAGCGCGTATCGCGCCCCGGCACAACGGTCGGGTTCCGCCGTATTTATTATATTTCGTTTGTTTAGCGCGTAAGTAAACAGCCGAAACGATAACGGCGTGTTGTTTGTTTTTCAGTGCACACGACGCCCGGTTCACGTCCGGCAGCGGCGGCGGCGGCATCCGCGAGACGACGGGACGCGGGCCAGGCGCGACGGACACCGCGGAGAGACGCCCCGGGATTCCGTCTCGATCGGCGCGGAACACACGCGGACGCCGAGAACACGTCGACGACGCCATCGCTCGCACGACTGTGTCATTCCAACGTGGCGGCGGACAACACGCCGGCGAGAGACGCGCCAGAGGTGATACGATTTTCTCGCTACATTCTATTACCGTGTCGCGTACGATAGTGCCGCGCGCTTGGGCCGGATAGGCACGCGGCGGGAGGACAGGGGCCAGGGGAGTGTCGGACGACGTCCGTTTATTCGTATTCACCGCGCACTCGTTTCCGGCTCGAAACGGCCGCGGCCACGTCCGTTATACAATTATTAAAATACGGCTGGTTTTTTTTTTTTTTAACCGGGCCAGATGTCGTTTGCGCGGCGAGCGATTCCGTAATCAATTGCACCGATGACGGCGGGCGTAATCGGCGCGCCGGATTTCGGTGATTTCGAAATGAACGTCGGGCCTCGGATACACGCGCTCGAAATCGGGAATCGCGGCGGTCGCCGTTCGCCGCGCGCTCCCGAAAGCCATCGGCCGGCGTTCGCGGAACCCGCAACGCGCCCCGTCGCTGATTTGGGCGCGCGCGAAAAACGCCGTCCGTAATGTTAAAAACGGAACCGTGCGCGCCGTGCTACCACTCCCGGGGTCCTTATTCCGTAGATTTCGTCGACTCGCGACGTTATTGCGGCAATAAATAACAAAACGGCGTTCGTGTCGCCCGCGGAACGAACGCGAGGGGAGACGGTCGTAAATTCCGGACCGCCGCCGCCGCCGCCGCCGCGTATAACAATACGTGTGAGCGAGCGTACGTGACGGCGGTACGCATATTCGTGTATACGTGTATACGTATATACACGCGTACGTTTTACAACAGAAGCGCGTTCCGCGAAAACCCTTTTTGCCGCGGTTGGTGGGTGGGGGGAGGAAGGGTGAAACTTTGCCGAGGGGGCGAGACGGCCAATCCCGGCCGCGCGCGCACACGATAAACCGTATCGATCGGGACGCGCCCACCGCCGCCGTCGCCTCCGCGCGCCCGCCACCGGCTATTAAACTATCGCAAAAGCTTCGGCGCTGCGGGCGCAGGCGCTCCCGCCTCCGCCCCCGGCGCGACTTTGCGCCCTCGCCGAACGCCGCCGCTCTCGCGGTACACCGCGGCACAACGCGGCCGTCCGTCGTCGCAGTCGTCGCCCAGCAGCAGCGCAGCCCCGACACGCAGTCGTCGCCCGAACGCGTCACGCACGGATCCCGGGCGACGGGGCACGTGTGCCCGTCGTCGCCGCCGCCACCGCCGCCGCCGCCGCAGTAAAGGTAACACGCGTTCACTGCCCCGTATTGCGATTCCCCGAGCCGTTCCTGTCGCACGCCGCCCGCCGCACCTAGCCACCCGCCCGCCCGCCAACTATCCCGGCCCCCTCCCCCCGCTCGCCGCCCTTATCGCGGCGTTTTCGTTTCGACCCGCGGTTTTTTTTTTTTTTTTTTTTGCTGCCCGTCCCGCACAACACCATCGAGCCCGGGTTTTTCAAACGATTTCGGCGTTTTGTCCGCGCACCGCTCCCTTCTCCCGGAACCATTTTCCGTCCCCGAACGTGTTTTTTTTCCGCAGTTTCTCCCGCTGCCCGGGCGGTGCATAATGTACGGGTTTTTTTTCTCGTTAATTTACTACCACGCCAACGGTCACTATTTCATTATTATTATTATTATTATTATTAATGCCGCGGTTTTTTTTCTCTTTTTTTTTTCCAGTGTGTTTTCCAGATGTGTGTGCGCCGTCGAACCGCGGGCTATTCGTGCAGACGACGTCCGCCGCCGCCGCCGCCGCACCCGTACACCGACGACCGCGGGACCGATGGGACGCTGAATTATGCGTGGCATCCTGTACGTATACTAAATGTATCCTGAGTGCATTATATAAACTGTCCGGTATACCTTCTGTATACGTAACAGGATGCCACACCGACGTCGTGACGATGACATCCCGCCCCCGCATTATCCGCGGATCTTCCATTGTACAGTGACGATGACGACTGATGTTAGATTAACTAGAATACGTATTTTATTTGTTTGGAAAAAAAAAAAAACTAAATTTTGTTAACAATGTTTTATAGCGATAATAGATAATAGATGAACGGAAAAAAAAAAAATACACCACGATACTTATACGTAAGATTATTATTTTTCGTTTGCAAGCCTACTCGAATCGCACGGTTTATATTTACTGGTTCCCCTCCCTCCCCCCGCTGTATATAGTTTTAACCGTACGATCGCGTCTGTTGTATACAAAACGTGTAAAAACCAAAATATAAAAAAAAAAAAATTGTATAATTATTGCATTAGACAACGGGTAACCGCGCGATTGTAACCGTCGAAAAACAATGAAATGAAAAAAAAAACGATTGTATTATATAATGCTTTGAATAAAATGTTTGTATGTTTGTTTTTTTTTTTTTTTTTGTGTAAAATATTGTCGTGCGGCGTAATTAACCGTCGACACAAATATATAATCACATTACAATAAATCGCCGTGTGCTGCATTTTTTATTTTTTTTTTATGATATGAAAATTGTATAATAAACGAAAATTAGGCTTTTTACCGTATTGTATACGTATAGTAATTAGCTATAAGAGTAGGCTTGCGTGTGTTTAGAATTTATTTATTTATTAATTTTTTTTTTTTTTTGTACCGACGACACACCGATTTCGTTGAATTAATATTACAATATTTACGTTAAAACTACGGCGGTGGTAAAAAAAAAAAAAACGCAGCATTGCGTGCGTGCACGTTATACACACATGCAGACGGCGAATCGTTTTCGGCCTTTGGGGAGTAATAACGATAAATTATTGAAACTCGGTGACCGACGGGAATAAAATCGCGGGCAAACGGAGTCTGCGCTTTTTTCATTTCATTTTTTTTTTTTTTTTTGTACTGACTAAAACGATAAATTTAATTTATCGCGCCCGCGAGCGTACCTAAAAAACGAACGGTATATTTAATTGGGGGAGGGGAGTAAGAGGTTAAAGGCTCCCACCAGCGTCATACTGTTTCGGTTAATATCAGTATCCGACAAACATATTCGATTCGATGGGGTTCGGGACGGGTTTTCGGGTAGGGCTTGTTCCCCCTTTCTCTCACCCTAACAGCTCTGTTCGCGCCGACGGTACGCCCTGTATAAAAACTGCAGCGGTTTTCGGCCTTTCCGAGTCCGCGGCCCTTCTGATTTCGAAGACCGAACTAGCTGCTCCCCTCACGAATAACGAAAAAAATAAAACCAAATACATTTACTGTGATACTCTACTGTATGTATGCACGCACTGTTATTATTACTCTCGGCACGAGACCGCACGACGCCGCGCCGCACGGGTTGAAAACAACTACTCAAAAGTACAGGGTAGAGTCACCTACGGTCACTTTTTCTATTGATATTCGATTTGTCCCATGTGTACGGTTGTTAATCGAACCGTTTGAATACGTTATTATAATAGTCATTACCAATACAGAGTTACCGATACGATTTGAAAGCGTTAAGAACAATGATTTGCGGAATGATTTGTATCAGTATTAATATTTTGAAATTGCGTTTTCCCCGGCCTGCACCCTATGTTATCTATGTTTTTTTTTTTTTTTTTTTAATAATCGAACCGCGCGATAAATAAATATGAATGTAGACGAATACAACAATAACCAATAACGTGCGGGGCAATCAAATTACAAAATTTTACTATTAACGAATAAAACACAAATGAGTGGCCGTATAGCAGGGATACCGACCGCAGATGTGGGGTGACTCAACCTTATAGTTCAGTAGTAGCTTTTTCGATTTTTTCATTATGACCTCTGCGTCGTCTCTATACCGAAAAAAGATTTTGATTTTTCGATGAAGTTTCGTATAATTTTTTTCTCCCGATTTTACCCGCCCGTCCCGATTCGAGTTGGACCGAAAATTATTCATCAAAATATTCTCCGTCAAGCGGCCCACAAGCGCGTGTACGGTTTTCCGTTTTGTTTTTCGTACAAGGGTATTTTAGGTTAGCTCTATGTACACCGCGGGACAGTTGTTCGTATAAAAACGTTATTAAAATCCATTATTATTTTTATTTTTTTTTTCGGTCATACGAGTTTGATTGAGACAAACAGCGCGACAACGGACTAGGCCACACGTTTTCCGCGTTTGAGTTAATGGCGTCATAACACAACAACCGCACGCCGTAAAATTCAATCCGTAAACGGATGACCGGGCCGTCTATTCATTTTACAATAATATTCACTAAACGACAGCCGCACACTCGCCGCTATTGCACATATTATTATCGGCAATAATAGAGATGGAGAACGGCGGCGGAACGATAGTGAACGGGATATAGGAATATAGTCCGTTATCGCGCCGAAGGCCTCGACTATAACAATAATATCATAAAAACTGTATCGACAATATTAACAAAAAAAAAAAAAAAAAAAAAAAAAAACAACAAACAACAATTATAATAATTATAAACTAACAATAGGTATTAACTAAAACAACAAATAATTTTAACGGTCGAAAATAATCATTTACATTTACATCATGTACATTTCGAATATCAATAAAACTACGGATAAAAAAAAAAACGTACATAGTCCGGAGTGAGTGTGTGTGTGTGTGTGTGTGTGTGTACGCTGATCGGCTAAACGATTTAATCGATCGTAACGAATGTGTTGTACTCCTATACTCGGTACCTACTTAGTACGGTAAGTGTATTGAAATACAAACAATTACGAAAAAAATAAATAGGTTTTCGTAAAAAAAAAAAAAAAACTCACGATACTAATTAAACTATAATTATAATATACTGCGTGTTATACATTTCGAACAATATACATGTTATGAGAGTATATAATAAGTATAGACGAGTATAGTACAAAGGGGTGAAAAAAAAAACAAAAACCAGCATTTTATCTGCACAAGTATAAAATATCAATAATTATAATAATAATAATAATGATAACAATTACAATAATAATAATAATAATGAAAAAATGTATTGATTTTCGAAAATAATAATTATTTAAAATAAATTTACCACGGAATCGAATGCATAATATTATAACTCGGTTAGGTTAGGTTCCCGATCGTTATTTTTTTTTTTGCGGCTGTATCCGAGTAACGTCTCAATAACCATTTTTTACACAGCAATTCCGTCCCGGGTGAAAACATTTTATGTACCATAATTCCGTCCCTAATAAACCGGAAGTTAATTAAATTAAAATATTACTATTATCAGTACAGTAAAAAATAATAAAATAATGACCGGAAAGTTTAATATAGATAAATAGTATCATCATAAATTGTATACTACGTTTAAATAATGCGGAGCGCGCAAAAAAGGGACGGGACTCGCGTATAACTAATTAAACTACACGGCGCGGGTAATTAGTATACTTCCGTTTAAAAATAAAAACCCGGGACGGAATTATATAGTAATAATGTATCTTTGAATACGAATTTTACGTTTGCGACGGAACTCGTATATTTTTCTACGCTCCCGATGAGAACCGCATAGGTTTTCAAAAAAAAAGCTCTCCGGCGATTTTTTTCCTCCCTCGAAAAATCGATAAAAAATATCGAATACACGTTATCAGGGCACCGCGTTATCACGGCGCTGCGTTATCAGGGCGCCGCGTTATCAGGGCGCGACGTTACCCGCAGCAGTGCGCACACCGCAAAAAAATAACGATTTTTTACGAACGGACGACGTTATTATCGATTTTTTTTTTTTCTAAATAACCCCAGACGTATATTTAATAATAATACACGGTAATATAGTGGACCGTGATATTGCGTTCGGTTATTGGTTGCATGCAGCACACAATAACAAACGATAATATATTATAACACCGAAAGAGTAAAAACTATTCGAACCGGTTTTCCGAGAAAAAAAAAAAAAACCTTCGTAAATAATATGATATTACGTTATGTTTTTACGCGGCGTCCGAGAAAATTCTGTTTTTAACGTCTACAATAATAACGATAATATTTTAAATACGCGTTATACGCGGCGTGTCGTATCACCTATAATGTAGAGGTACCTGTAGATACACACGGCACATTCAATACGATACCGGGTACGCGTATAATTCATGCCCGCGGTGTATACGTACGCGTGTATATATAAAACGGACGTCAGATATTTTTGAATTATTGTATTGTACGTTTTTTTGTTTGAGTAAAAAAAATAAAAAAAAAAATAATAATAATAAAATTATAAATCGAACGCCTATTACACAGCGATATAGTGTACAACTACAACTACGGCCGTAAACTTTTGAAATATATTAATTCGAAATATTCTTCCGTGATACTATTTAATATATTAATATATGCGTTGCGCAGACAACTGTATACGTTGTTGTATATACAAGTGGGTATGCGCCGTATATTTTCAAAAAAAAAAAATTAAAAAATATGAAATTAAAAAAAAAAAAAAAAAAAAAATAATGATAATAATACATAAATTACTATACTCATACTAATAACTATACTAATAACTTATTTGTGAACAACGTCCGAACCTCTGAACATATTTTATTGTAATATTATTGAGTTCCGACGAATAAAACGTTTAATTTAAATCCGTGCGCGTATACCGTATATAGGTAGTGGTGTTCGATTATCAAACATTTTTTAATAAAAAATAAATATTATCAGTGACAGAGATACGGTCCGTTTACGTATGACGTATTTGTCAACATTATATGTTTTTTTTTTTTTTTTATAATCTACTAGAAACCTAAATCCGTATCGCAGTCGTTTATATACAGAGCGATCGACGTAAGCCACTCGTCGTCATTTCGGAAAATGTCGACTTGTTTTTTCGGAATTAGCTTTTCGAAACGTTCGAGATGTGGATAGCTCTTAAAATATAACGTTTTTTTTTTTTCGTCGCAGTTCTTTTGGAATGTAAAACCACTGCCTATATTTTTATTGTTAAACTGCAACCAGGCTGGTTGAACCAGCTCTATACATTAAAAATGTCCATTCATTGACGGAGTATTAGTATAAATAGATTTTGATGTTGAAATTAAAAAAAAAAAAAGAAAGAAATGCAACATTTTATAGTTAATAATTTCTTAAATTTTCCAAAAAAAATCATTACTTTCCGAAATAACGAGTGTCTTACGTTACGTTGATCATTCAATATATTTATACAAGTACGTGTTTATTTTTAATTTCGTTAACCTAATTCCATTTATTTCCGCGCTGAATATTAATTGATTTGTTTGGAATGTTCGTTTGGACAATATTATAAAGGGCTCGGTGCAACGACGAAGTGATTTTAAAACGACTTTTCGATCGTTTCGAGTAAAACGTATTACGCTTGATTAATATAATTATGTCATGCACTTCTTATCAGACTGTTATCAGTAATAATTTGATTGTTTGGATACAAACAATTTAATTGCCCGATTAAAAACACACATAACACTATATTTTATTGTATTTTAATTATTATACATGCCAAGATTTGACTATTATTTAATAAGTGATGCTCAAATGAGATTTTTCGGAATAAAATAAGTATCTAAGTAGGTACTTAAAATGTTGAATGTAACAATTTTTAAGTTACTTTACATCGCATTTGTATTTGTTTGGATCCAATCGTAATTGATAAGGATTTTGATCAGACGTCACATTAATCACGCGTATAAACGCTACATATAATTTGGTGCAACGATAACACAAGACTGACCGCCGGATACGGAAAATAAGAGCGATAAGGATAAAGATAAGGTGACGAGGATTTGTCTGATTCTAAATAATGGTTGGAAAAAAGACGACAAGTCCCGCGGATACATGGTTTTTTTTTTTTTGTTCTTTCAGCTGAAAAATGTCGAAAAAAGGAATTGTCTTGAGGTCGTCGCACCATTTAAATGAAACCGTCGAATTATCGGGCGTTTGATTTTTCGTGACGTCGCGACACGACAGTTGAATATTTTAACGGATCCCCGTCACGTCGTACACGTTTTCACATAGACGGCCGGTACGAGTTTTGTACAATGCAAAACGGACGCTGTTAGCGGCAGGCACAAAAATGGACGAACGAAAACAAGAGTTTCGTGTTTAGTTTTTTTTTTTCAAAATCTCGATTTGGTAGATTTCAAAAATAGAGGGCGGCGGGACTGACAGTATAATGCAGGGAAACGTGAAAACATCATATTCGTGTATTATAATCAATGCATAATAATATCGAGGATATATTATGATAATACGAATACCATCTGTACCGGAGTTGGCCTCAGCTGTATAAAACAAGTGGTGTGTATTGTAAATTAATATTATGCGACGTCATAATCGGCTGTAAAGTCAGTTTTTATTATTTATTTTTTCTGGCAAGTACGTTCGCAGCGAACAAAATCACTCCGGCCGCCTTCAAAAACGTATACATTATAACTATATTATTACGTTGGTAATGTAAACGCCGCCGCCGCCATAGTCGTCGTTGAGATTTTAAAACAATATTGCAAATTGTGATGCATATTTTACGCGAATTATTATTGTACATTATTTATTAAACGGCGTTATTCGAATATCGTAATATACTTGTATAACTGCCTGTATAACGTGCGACCATTATGTACCCATGATAAAAATATTTTTAAAAAAAATTAATAAAACCAGCAGCAGGAATCGTGTGTATAAATATAGGTATACCGGCTACTCGTACGAAAAAAAAAAAAACAAAAACAAAATATAATTTATATAGTTTTTTTAAAAATATGTTTTGTTTTTTTTTTTTTATTATATTAATAATTCGCTTAACAACCATTAAAAGACATAGTATACCTATCGTAGAACACACCGAATTAATATAAAGTGTGTATTATTATATGAAGCGCACGATGATAGCGTCGATAATAATGCTTCGGTAAACGGTTTAGAATCGGCTGATCGATTATTGTTCACTTAATTGTTGTCAGATCTCAATTTGAAGCACCGACTGTCGACTACTCTAAGAGTGTCCATCAATCGCTAATAAAGATTTTATTATCCCTATAATGTAAACTCAGCGGGCCTTGGATCCATCGTGAGATTTCGATTTTTTTACATTACTATACATTTAAATAAATTAAAATACAACCGATAACGAAATTAATCCATTATAATTAAAAGAAATACGAATGAATTCTCTCAATTATTTTATTGCTATATTTTTACATTGACAAACATGTAAGTAAATAATAGGTAAATAGGTAAATAGGTAAATTATAGGTAAATTATAAATATTTCACGTTGTCAACTTATGATATTCTGTGTTAAAGTGTTATGTTGATTAAGGAAACGAACTCGACTACAGTCTTGTTATTAATTTCTCAATCAAAACAACACTTTGTTGTGAAAAACGATGTAGAATTTCATCTGGAGATAATGAAATATCACGCTCATAACTGATTAGCATAAGACACATTTTGAAAAATAATATACTACAGCAAACAAATTTGCATATGTATAGTTTTGTCCCTTCCGCTCAATACATCTAACCTTGTTGCCACACAGTCGTGCGAAAAAAAAAAATAAAAAAAAATATCTAATTTTATATGCTCGCGAATAAATTTATCGGTAATTAATTACCTATTTATAATATATAATACATAAAAATAACATATTCAATTCATATTACGGAACAACCATACACATTATGTCAAACAGTATTATGGAAATCGAAACACGGTTCGTTATACGTCTAATTTATTATTATATTTGTGTTTTTAAATTTTTAATCGCTCGAGAATTTTACTCGAAATCCGTTTCCCCCGTAACCGTTTGGTAACGTTAACGGCACAGACATTTTTATGTTTTCCATGCGATTCATAATACAATGTACAATATTATTACGATAGGTATTGTTAAAACCATACGCATAATTTGTCGTATTACACACGCCTAACGCCAAATAACGCGGTCATAAAAACGCATCGAGTTAGGTATATCAGCAATAATTATGTATAGGTGCATATAAGTACCTATATAAATAAGAGTATAGTAAAAACGTTCGAGTTGTCGTTTTACGACCCGCCGGAATACACGGATACAATAATTTATTTTCGAATCGTGCGCGACTGTTAGCGAATTGCATTGTTTACTGGATAATATACCGGGTGAGCACAAACATCCATATAACACGTGCGCACGTAAAGACGAAAAGTCACATACTGTACATATATATATATATATAATATGTCGGTAGGTGCCTAATAAAAATATTATAACAGACACTGCAGAGATTCTTGGCACGTCAAATGAACAATATCGCGCGAAATATTTTAATACGCGTTTATCGCGTCCCGGCAATAAAACATCACAAATCCAATTATAATATAGTATCGTATATTTCCACGTGTACCTATACAGTTAAATTATCAAAAACTCGTTCGTTTTTGAAGCAGTCAGTTTATATTGGCTATTATGCACGAGTTGAAATCGTGAATGTATTCGGGATATAATATTGTATAGTACGTTCGGTCATAACTCGGTTAAATATGTTTTGTTTACGTGCATTTGTTTTTTATGTATTGTTTATAATATGTCAATGTGCAGAGCAAGTAGCGTGAAATCTTTAAAAAGACAAAATTCGATCGCTCGGCGTATCTCGAGAACGACTTCGCCTAAAAATGTGCACTTTCGCACAGAAGTTCACCGCGAATCTGGTCATTAAAATCGAAAATTGCATATATTTAAAAAAATAAAAGTCTTTTTCTACTGCAATTTGATTGTTTCGATTTTGAAGTAAATATTACCAATAATCATACAAATATTTTACATATACTATACTGTATTTCATACTGATATGCTTAAAGCTGATATGATGGTCTTTAACAATTGCTTACCAATATAAATTTTAGTTTCGACGATTAAAAAAAAAAAAAAAAACTATTAAAAAGTAACATATCTTAATTTGTAGAAACTAATTTAGTTAGTAAGTTTTGCTACCCGTGAACGCAGTTTCACCAGTATGCGTCGAATTAAAAATTGGCTACGTACCATACAAGTATGCTACAACAACGAATTGATCAGTATCTAAATATCAAAAGGGGGGAGCATAACAAATAGTCTGAATAGTTAATAAATTTTAAACAAATATAATTTGCATTCAAGAAAAATCGTGTTGAAATAGTTATGATAATTTTATTTCGTAAAAATGTAATTTGAATCAACCACATTAAAACAAAGTACATAAATATACATTTTCGATTATTTTTATTATAAAACAGTGTAGTTTAAAAGAGGTATGATATATGAGGATAAAGTTCCCATGGGTCTATGAGGATTTTATTATTTGCGCACTTCCAAAAATATTGATCTAGTGCGCCTATTGGTCGCGTCAAATAATTTATTTTTCCTTGATTCTCGGTCATCGAGATTATGCCGCCAAACAGATATTTCTCCATCCATTCCTATTTTCTGCAGCTATCTTCCATGGCACATCTGGTTTTATCCATCACACGGATGTTCTGAAACTCCCAACGGAGTCCCTAGAGTTCATTTGCCAGTCGGGATCTTCTCAATGGTTGTTCTGACTACGGAACCTATCTTCCGTCACGATCTGTGCTGTTCACATCAATCTCGTTCTCCTGATCACCAATAAAACGCCCAGCCTCTGGAAAAATATTATTCTTCAAGTTCACGGTTATGCCGTTTTCACCGTTTTCCCGTGTGGTTACCAAAGCAGAGACCATTGATTTTCTTCGAGACTCTTCTTTCGAATACTTTAAGTCTCGTCTTCTTAAATGGCCATACTCCAACGTAGTATTCGAGGCATATAGCACTATGGGTCGTACTACATTCATATGCATTTGTATTTTTATGTTAACCGACGGGGATCTTGAACCCAGAACTTTTCCAAGGCCAAAAAAACACTTATTTCCCTAGCCGATTTTCATTTTTAAGTAGTTTTCCCGCGTTAGTAAATGCCCTAAGTATTTGAAATGAGTAACTCTCTTAAATACAATATATTCTTTTAAATTCATAGAGTGTCCTTGTTGATAACGTTTCTCTTGACCACTTATTACCATATGTAATCCGTTTTTTCGTCATTGACAACTAATCCCACCTAATTTTCGACCGTCAGGATTTGTCCATACAACCGTTTCATGTCTTCTTCGGTATTACCCACTTTTACTATGTCATTCGCGTCAAATTATAATATTGTAATAAAAACGAAAATTCCAAAACTTAAATACCCAATAATACAATGTTATGCTCTAAACGGGATAATCCTTTCATGAACCGGGGGCGGTGGTTGTCATAACCGCACACTTTCAAAAAATGCCATCGTTCAAAACCGTACATTTTTATATATTGTTTTCCCATGTGATACCGCTCGATGCCGTACACATTTTACTTAGTGTCCTATCGGTCGTGGTATTGCCCAACAAATCGATGGCTATTTTCGACTAAAATTGTCCGAGTGAGCGTAGCGAGCGAGTCACCACATTGGGTCCCTAATTTCACCTAAAATAACCTTTTTCACTGTCAATCAAACGTGTGCGGTTTTGAATTGTCGACCCTTTTTTATTTCCATTTTTAACAATAGACACAATGTTTGCGGTATTGAACGATGTAAAATGTGTGGCTTTGAACGACGTCCACCGGGAGATATCTCGGAGAATTAATCAATTTTAATTGACTCTTATCGAAATTCCGATACCACAGAACTACATAGACATACTAAGTTGATAATATCGACAAACCAACTTTATTTTATTTGTGTGTCTTTGTCTGTAAACATAATAATTTCCCGTTCACGTTCCCTTTGTAATAATATTTTGAATATAATTTCTTATTGACCGTAAAGTCCTTGATAAAAATACAATTATTAATGTCATCAATAAAATTGTTCTCCGAATTTCTATTCGAATTTTTTATTTAGTTTCATTAACGATTATTACTGCAGGCCACGTGACCATATTAGGCACCGGCTACCGGGAAATTTCTAGGCGTCTGTTTGTATTCGTCATACAAATCGGTGGTTTTATTCCGATTGTCACGGTGTGAACTGCGGGTCTAATGCGAATGAAACAATATGGACATTGGTATACTTGTGTGGATACGATGAGATTCGAAAATAAAAAAGTTTTTTTTTTTTTTTTTTTCTGAAATTCAATATTTCATCTGTAGCTGTAGGTACAATATAATATCGAACGCAATTTTTAAAAAACCTCGAGGAACTCCCCCTCGTGTTCGACTATTTTGATTTTATTCCCACACTCTGACCCGATTTCGGGTAGACGAACAAGAGTTTCGAGCATACCGTTTGGAAAAAAAATGCATAACGACGGATTTTATATTGTGGCAGGTATACGGGTATAGGTATAATAACGATTTCGTTATTGCCGTGACGGAGAGAGTACACCATTTTTTTGTCTCGCGGTTTGTTTCGGAGCGACAAAAAACTCGAGAAAATAAAAGGGTTAGAGAACATTCTTTTGAAATGCCAAACGGTCAAGACAATTGCGGCGAGCGCACGCGCGTGCAGCGGTCGTCGTGCGGTGAGAAAGGTGTGTCACTGGGCCAAACCGTAATATTTATTGCGGGGCAAAAGAAAGTGCGCCTACAATATAGTACTCTTAAAAAAAAATAGTAACAATAAAAAAAAAACAAATAAATATGTCTTAAAAAAACCACAGCCGATATGTAGGTCAAAAGAAAACGACAACAACACACGAACATCCCGACCAATCGGACGTCTGGACGGACTTCTCGCAATGCCCGAAACACAGAATCTCGGAGGTTATTTTTTAGTCAAACGTCCGTCTGGAAATCGAGTGGATCACATCGACGTGTTTCGAGACGAATCCAGAGCAGGGTACGACCAGCACAGCGCAAATCCGAGGTGAGTAGATTAATTATTCGGGCGTGTAATATCTTAGACAGTGGCATGTGTAGCGTTGCTTCTTTTTTTTTACGAGACCCCGTAATTCTCTATACGTACTTATCGCCATCATTACTATCTATACCCGGAGAAGTCTAGGGAGGGCCATGGTCCCCGGGACATCGAACTCCCAGGGCTTCAATTTTTGCTACAGTATGTTCTTTGTGTGTGCATCGTTTTACCATTGACTATTTACTTTGATGTTTTGATATTTTTCCGTTGCTTGAAGATGATGACTTATTCGCATTATTATGCAATACAAACTACTAGCGACTCTGTTAAAAATAATTAATTAATTAATTTGAATTATATACTCGTGGCCTTTGAATTCAGATGTATATGATGACGTCTTAACTGTTCATTATTTTTCTGTCGTTTAAACATATTGATTAGTAAACATTTTTAAAAAAAAACGTATTTTTATTAGTCTTTCAACGAGATAGCCTCGTTGAAAAGTTTGACTCCGGAGCCTCTAAGTGCCTTAATTCGGGATCGCTATATACTTCCGTCTCATATCCACGAATAGAAATTGGAAATCAATTGTTATTAATTAGTGTATAACGCAAAGTCGTTTCACTACGTTTCTGTAGAGTCGTATGCGTTCAGCCACTCGCAGGCCACCCGCCGATTTTCGTTGTCTACGCCACCGCGTTAAATTCCTAGAGCAGGTACCCCTTAGACCCGATGTTTTTCGAATGTCGCAATAATATTACCTCGTATACAATATATATATATATAAAGTGTCCGGTATCGCGGTCAACTCTATCCCGAGGGAATAAACGGTGCCCGGGATCGGTAGTTTTTTTTTTTCTATTATTGTATTACCTCTGTTCCCCGAAGTCTTTCGGGGGCGATTTTCGGCCACCGGCTTCGCCGGAAAAAACACGAAAATGACCGATACGCGTTATAATGCGTAAAAAAAAAAAATACCGAATAAATTAATATCGACATCGTCCGCGGCGTCGGTCGCGGGGTTTCGCAGACTCTGCCGCCATCTGGGCGACGCGAAAACGCGCATCATCCCCGAGGGTGGTCCGCGGACAGAGCGAGAGAAAGGGAATGCGGCGACGACGGCGACGCCGCGCCGGCCGGTCCGGAGCAGGGCGGTAGCGATGGGAGCGCTGCGATTCCATTACAACCTCGCGACGGCCGCGCGACTCCTCCTTTCCGGCATGGCGCCGGGCGAACACCATTCCGCGGGCCATCGCCGCAGCAGCCGTCACCATCATAATATTTGTCGTGGTCCAGGTAGTCTCGCCAGACAGAATGGTGTTCGCGATGACCCAACAATAATAACCGCGTGATTCGGCCCGGAACCGTACGCGATAACAATAGAGTGTATTAGATTCTGAGCGGAGCGACGAGGAGTTCATCGGTTTTACAATGATGTTTATTTTTTTATTATTTTTTTTTTCTTATCCGTAAACCGTTTTCATACCGGCAATGCTTTGCTCCGGTTTTCAATTAAAGCACTTTCTCCGAAAGGAAATCTGACCGGGGCGGTATATTATAGGGGGGGGGATCATTTTTCGATTTCCCCAGCCGTTTTCACAATAAACGGGGAAAAAACTGCGGGTAAACAGGTACAATATCAAACGAATATTATTTTTAAAGAAAATAATGTACGCGTATATTGTAATAATTATTTTACTGTAATACTACATAATATATAATATACCGTTGATCATGCAACACTATTAACCCAACTCCGCTCAGAATCGTTTTTCGTTATCAATGAAACCAACTGCCTCTGCAGTTTCGTATCATTTTCAGAACCGCAGAACCGCATTTATTAATGACGTACCTAAGTGTGCCCGAAATCGAACTTGACTGGGGCACATCGAATAGTTATGCACCGCGTCGTAAATAATCGTCTTCAATAGATTTTTTCACGTTTACCCGACAATTACACCGCAATATTATTACCGTAGTTATAGATCCCGACGAAGATAAGAAATAAGAGGTTAGGAGGTGTAATTTAGGGAAATTTGAGTGAAAACCGATTGAAATCCATACGAAAATTGCCAGCGCTTTTTCGAGGAGATAATACGTTAAATAAGCGAGTTGAGAAATCTCATAGGAGCTTTAGGAGCGAACCAAGTTCCTGGTTTCTAAAAGTGCTTTAAATAAGAAACTATAATATGCGAATAATATTAATCATTTTGCGAATAATTATCAATGGACGAACACGACCGGGGTATGAGGTGTCTGAACTTGCGTTTAGAGACTTGAAATTATAAAACAAAAACGCGCGTGGCAAATATTTGTTGTCGGCAATTTTATAGACGTTTTTATTTTGGCGCGCGCGTTTGAAGTTTTCAGACTTTTTTTGGGACGGTTTGTTTTTTTGCGCGGTAACTTTTGGCTCCGGGCTTAAGTAATGCACTTAGGCCGCTCCCTTCTTTCGATAATGGTAAAAAAACACACAAAAAAAAAAAAAACAAACGGCGTATGCGCAAAAAAAAATAGCGCCGCGAATCCCACGGTAGAAAAGACGTTCCGGCACGCACAAAAGTTATAATTATAAATTATTTTACGCGCCGAGGACTATAATATTATACTGGCGTGTATCCGTAAGACGCGTGGATGCTGCGTGTATAGAGTGTCCCGGGAGATTGTTTTAATAATTTAGTGGCCGGCAAGAAATATTACTCCTGTACGTATTTAAATATTTTATATCACGCCCCAGAGTCGTGCCCGCAGTTTCAAAACCGTCGTAATATTTAAAGATCGTTGGTTTTTTATTATTATTATTATTATTTTTCAATATTTCACCGTCCGATACAAATTATGTGTATAACGGTTTTTAATAACGATCGTGTTTAGCGAACGAAATTAAAAAAAAAAAAAAAAAACGCGTTTTTATTTTACTCTGTTTTTCGACCACAGACCATATAATCATATCATTATACAATTTTGTTC